AAATGTAATGTATGTTAAAAAGGGCCACTAAGGGTGCAACATGTAAGTGCCCCTTCATTTTTCTAAGAAAAAAAGGGAGGGCTCAGAGGCATAGATGTGGCCTTCCAAAATCTAGGGATAGGCCTGCTCATTCACCCCTGTTGGGAGGCACCTACGGTCTATCCAGTGTCGTCTTGTCTGGAGAAAGGCTGGGCTCCAGCTGTTTTGCTCAGTTTCTAAAAAGACTTGAGTTCCCTTTCAAACCAACGTTGCTGGCTTAAGGATATGCACATATACAGCACATGGCCAACTCCAGGTTGGAAAACAAAGACTGGGCTCCAGCTGTTTTGCTCAGTTTTTAAAAAGACTTGAGTTCCCTTTCAAACCAACCTTGCTGGCTTAAGGATAAGCACATATACAGCACTTGGCCAACTCCAAGGTGCTTCCATTTTGTTTCTGTCTTTGTTTTAATTGCCATAGAAAGCAATTGGTTGATGGTGCTGTCACTTAGTATTTCTGCATAAGAATGAGGCCTGTGCAGATGTTTTCTGTCTGGATAGAATAAACATGCAAAGAGAAGGAATCTGCTTGTTTGGTCCCTTTCCTTCTGTGTCCATTGCTGCCTGTGCATGGAGGGTCACAGTTTGAAGGGAGATCCTCCTTTCCCTGTGGATGAGGACTGTGTTTCCTCAAGATTAACAGGCCAGTGTGGATGCCATTTTCTGCTATCTCTGGATTCTGTTGAAAAACTAGCAAAGGGAGAGATTCTAGTTAGACCAGAGCTTAGTGACATGGAAAAAGAATTTCTCGGTCATTCTGATGTGGAGAGCTTGTCTTCCTTCTACAGGGAACCCTCTGTGAAGACTGGATGTTGGTTTGTTGCTGCTGGCCTTTTGCAGTCTGTCAAATGGCCAGAGAAATGAAGAGGCGACCAGTATTCCAGGTTTATGAAATGCACCAGTCTCCTCCAGTAAAAAATGCCCTTGTTTGAAAGCTTGGATCATGGTGCTTTTTCTCAGCAGCAGCAGCAATGGTTACTGCAAAAAGTTTTTTAAAAAAACAACAACACATTTCTTTGTCAGAAAAACACTCATCCCCCCCCCCCCCAATCTTAGGAGAAAGATGTTAAATATAAACCCCATTCCAACAACAATCATCTGACTAATGGCATTGAGGATTGATTTCAAATGCTAATATTGCTGGGCACCTGCAAGACGTACTGCTGATCTCCCAAGGCTTCCTGACTTTTCTCCTCTGCCTTGTCATTTCACTCCCGGGCCCCAGCAAGTATATGGAGAATGAGAAGAGCAATAAAATGAGCAACCTCCCTGTAGCTGGAAAGTCTTCCCACTGCATGCATGCATTCAAAATAGAGTTGCAAATGCCCCCGAGGAACAACAAAAATTTAACTTTCCCTACCCCAGAAACTTGCTTTCCTAAATTTACCCAGCATGAGGACTTTTTTGTTTTAAGGGAAAAGTAAAAATCTGCATTGATGCCAGCCACACACAATGACTTCAGTTGTTCCTGGAGGAAAAAGTTGGGTGACTCCTGATCCTGTGATTTGGATTGTGAAGCCTCTCACAATCCAGTCCCCGTGCCCCATGCTATTCAATTGACACCTGAAGCCACTAGGAGACGTTATCTGGATTTTTGGTGCTTAGGGCTTCCAATATATGGATGACACCCTTTCCTATTTAGCTCCAAGGAAACTACTTTTGTACTGGACTGGGGCCTGACAGACAGGATGGAGTCAAAGAAATTGAAGCTGAATTCAGACAAGACAGAGATGCTTCTAGTCAGTTGAAAGGCAGATCAGGGGGGAAAGGATTCAGCCTGTGCTGGATGGGGTTTATGCTCTCCCTGAAAGCTCAGATTCAGTTTGATACTGCTGGACTCCATCCTGAGCGTAGACACTTTGATTTTGGTGGTTGCTGGTGTTGGAAGAGACTGGCTCCAACTCAGCTTACACTTGAGAAGATGCAGGCATTTGCAGGGGGAAGAGTAGAGAGGGCCTCCTCAGGTTTCTAATATTGTTCCTTACGTGCTCTGAGCCAGCCTGACCTGCTGTCTCTTCTCTGTAACCCTCGGGTCCACACCCAGGGCCACGTTCAATGTCTAGGGACATCAATTTTGATGTGAGCTCCCCTCTTTTGGAGTACCCATCTTCCCTTAACACTCACAACAATAGCCCAATACATAACATCATGTCCCCACATTCAGCTAGGGCGAGGAAGCTCTGTGTCCTTCATCTTGATCTGCAATCAGCTCAAGGAGGTAACAGGCTCTTCTCTCAGTAAGCAGTAGCAAGAGCATGCGATTGAGTCCACGGGTCTTAGTAGCCTCCAGGTGTATCACGAAGGAGGGGTCCAGCAGGTACACCAGGAAAGATGCTGCAACGGAACTGTGCCTCAGAAAAGAGTCTCCAGCAGGTGGTTCCTCAGAGCTGGAGCTGTTATGGGCTGCCCAGATAGGTGTGATTACAGAGCAAAGTGATTTCAGCAGAGTACTTTTAGGGGGTAAGCATGTTGACACAAAGACATAAGTGAGTGTGGATGTGAGTCGTTTACCAAGGGGGAAGTGTGCTTAGGTAACCATCCCTAGTCTCAAAGGGCTGAAATCCACAGCTGATGTTGATCCAGTACCATTCTCTGTGTACTCTCCCAGAACCAGGGCTGCATTTACACTGTTAAAGTTAATACATACCCATTCCGTCATGTATCCAAATGGCCCCGGAAGAGTTTCCCACTACTAGCTCTTCTACAGATGTGGGGGAACTATGTTGGACATGGAACAGGGAAAAGAGATGGAAAAGGTGAGAAAAGGGGGGAGGGAAAGGAGGGGGGACCCATAGGGGGGGAGGGGAGAAGAAGAAGATAAAAGGGAGGAGGCAGGAGACTTCTAGAAGAAGCGAAGGAGACCAGAGACAAAGGAGATTTGAAGGAAGAAATAGAGGTGGAAGCATGCAAGGCTAAAATGAAAATCCTTGAGGTTGGAGAGCTTCCAGTGAACTGGGTACTGGTAGAACATGAGGACCCATGAGTTGGTCATTCTGCAAGTATCAACGGCTGAGATGGAAAAGCTACACCAGGTAAGTCCATGACACAAGCCTTCCTTCTGGGGTGAGAGGGAGAGGTGAGAAAACAAGAAGGAACAATGAAAGCGGGGAACCATAGAGGTTTTCAAATACACCCTTAAGCCTGGCCTCACCATTGAGAAAAGGCCTGTCAAACCCTCTGACTCTGTGAGAAAGAGATGGAAGGGGAGAAAGCTCCTTCTTCCAAACAGTTACATATAAATATAAATATAAACGATCTTTGTTTTGACATCCCTTTCTTAACATACCTTAAGTAGACTTTCAAGGTGATGGGGAACAAGGGGTGGTTCACCAAGGACAGAGAGAGGGGGAGTAAGCAAGGAGGCCAGTGAAGGAAGGACACGTTACCAACCTGTAGTAGTAGTACTTTGAGTTGCCCTCTGTGAAGTCACACTTAGAGTGATCCACGCATGTGTGGAGCCTCATCGGAACATTCTAGAGCTTCTACACTGAGCAAAAAGATATATTAGTATAGACTCCGCCCCTCCATATGTACCTTGGCACTCAGATTCTCCCCTCAGTTTAAGACAACTGCCACTGCAGGTGAGAGTGTCGTGTAAGGATGACATCCCACTGAGCTTTGGAATGGGAGTGAGCGACAATGTGCCAGTTGTCAGTGTACGGGAAGACTTGGACACCTTGAAGTATGAGGTAGGCCACCACTGGGACCATGTGTTTGGTGAACACCCAGAGCACTGTGGGGAGACTGAACAGTAGCCTCTTGAATTGACACGCCTGCCCATTGAGTTGGAAGCAGGAGTATGGCCCGTGGGAAGGAGGGAGGGATATGTAAAAGTTGATGTCCTGTAGGTTGATGACAGCAAATCAATCTCTCTTTTGGAGTAGAGTGAAGGCTATATGGGCAGATGTAGTCATCGTCTTAGAGACAGGGTCGCCTAAGTGATCTGCCAGCGCCATAGTGGGCCTGTGGATTTTCAGCTCAAGGGGCTTCACCATACAAACCATCGACACATGTCTGGAAGTCCTCTGCTGGGGAAGGCGGGTCTGGGTCTGCAAGGTCTGAGTCCACCTGAGGACCGATGGTGTCTGAGGGTAAGAGTCTAGATCAGAAGGCTCAGGTTTGAGAGAGGAAGCTACTGACTGACAGTCTATGTTGGACTCATAGTCTGGCTTGGGCTGGCAATGGTGAGGCTGAGAGGGCTGTCTGTGTCAAGGACTTGATGTCAAAGGGGCCGTGGCTGGCTGGTTTCTAACCCAGTTGGCATTGACAGAGGCCTTATACTCGTGATGGTGCCAAGGCAGTCCTTGGTATCGAGGATCCACTGAGGGCCGTCAATATTGATCAGTGTCTTGTTGTCCAAAGGGTGCCAATGGTCTGGACTGAAGGATGGTAGACTGTACCAAGAGGGCCAAGGCTGATCTTCAGGAGTGGCCTGCCTTTGACAGTGGCGGTGGGAAGTAGTGTGTTTCTGGTGCCGAGAAAACTGCCGAGGTTGGAGAATTTGTTGGGATCTGTTGAGGCTTTTTCTGGGCCAAGGGTCAGTCACCATTGGGTGGGACAGGTGATGGTGGCTCTGCTTTGACACCGATGCCTTTGCTGTGGGCTTTGAGCATTCAGATGGTGCTGACACATAGCGGAGTGTCGATGCCTGCCAACAGGGAGAGGACTATCAATGAAGGAAGGTTAAACTAACAGAAAACAAAGTCCTTTTTGTTTTCATTTTTTTTTCAAGGGTGGACTCACAGAAGTCGAGAAACACGAGGTGAACGAAGCTTTCAATGCGACGGTTGAAAAAAACTGAGAGAAGAGCCTTGGTGCCAAGATACATATGGGGGGGGGGCCCGGATGGGCCCATACTAATGTATCTTTTTGCTCACTGCAGAATCTCTAGAATGTTCTGATGAGGCTCCGCGCATGTGCAGATCACTCTAAGTGTGATTCACAGAGGCAATGAAGAACCATATTTTGTTCCAAGTTGAACAATAAGTTTTATTCACCTGTTTGTCATGCTCATGTTGTTCAAATAAACTCTGCTTCAACTGTTGTTAACAAGCTTCTCCTGACTCCCAGATATGTGGACTCAGATATGGAGGACAGTGACCTGAGAGGCCTGTGGGTGGCGGGGACATGCACAAGGGGCAAATGCTGAAGCTAGACCTCCAACCAAAGACTGTGATGTAGATCATGTAACTCCCTTGTTACAACAGTTTCACTGGCTGTTGGGTGAAGTATAACCTAAAAAAACCTTGCATAACATGGGCCTTGAAGGATCACATCTTAACATATGAGCCTCTCTGTGTTTTAAGTTCTCCTTTCAGTCCCACTGGCCTCACAAGCATATTTGGTGTAGGTTTTCCTAGGGGTTAGAACATCCACCGGAAACTAGGCTGGCCCTCATTTCTGCTGTGCTTCCTCTTTAGGGAAGCATCTGGCAAATGAACAGACTTCAGAGAAAGGCGCTTTATTGGGGGATGCTGCATTTTTTTGCCCCTTTCCTTTTTTTAAAGTATTCTAATTTTGTTAAGTTAGTAGTCTTTTATTATTAATTGAATTTTAAGATTATAATATATGCATCTTTTTAAAAATGATTATTTTTACCAGTGCCTTAGTTCCCTGCATTGGGAAAAAGGAGGAAAGATGTCATATATAAGCAGCAAGCAATTCTGAAATAATGCACATGATACTTGTGTATTCCCAGGAGTATTTAATACTATCCTATACTTCTTCCTCATCTTTTTAAAAATGATTATTTTTACCAGCTGCCTTAGTTCTCTGCATTGGGAAAAAGGCAGGAAAAATGTCATATATAAGCAGCAAGCATTTCCGAAATAATGCACATGATACTTGTGTATTCTTAGTAGTATTTAATACTATCCTATTCTTCTTCCATTATGCCACTCAAATCTGATACCTTCCAAGGCAGACTACCATATTGTGCATTCTATGCGAAGCCAGCCTTGACGTATCCTTGCAAACGGTGGTTCTAAGCACAGCTGCTAGCACAATAACTCTGGAGAGATGGGGATGGGGGAGTGTGTCCTTACTACACTGCACTCTTGAACAGTGACTGAGCCTATTGCTGTACAGAGGGCTGCAGTAAACCTCCTTGATGTGCACAGGCCTTGAAGGGCTGTGCTTTTTCTGGCACGGTTGTGTACAAGGCCAGCTCTGGCATTAGGAAAAGTGAGGCAACTACCTTCAGCAGCAGAGGAACAGGGTGGGTGGGGGGAGAGCAGGCAACCATAGCTGACAAGTCTTCTGGACTTTTAATATCTGGACTCTTTTGGGGCTACAGATCTGGCGTGTCTTAAACTCTGGCTCTGAAACTCAAGTTTTGGGGTCCCTTCTCTTGGTCTCTGGGCTTTGACTAAAATCTCAGGAAAGAGGATGGTCTCTACCTGGCAATCCTAAACATGGAGGGCTCATTCTCATGATTTCAAGGCCTGTCAATTAGATAAGCTCAGCACCACCCTTCTGTTTTCATGACCCTGTATGTGCCAAAGTTACTGGTGTTGGAATTCCCACCTTGGCATTCAAATTCCTCAGTGAACCTCTACATTTTCTGCAATTGTTGCTGAAGGGCCGGTCCCTTGTAACATTGCAGCCCTCAGGCTTTGCCCTTGCACTCTCAGGGAACTGGATGCAGGTGATCTGGGAGAATAGGCCTGCACTCTCTAAACTGCCCTGCAGTCCTTAGGTATGCTGAAAAACCCTGCCTCCCTGGCAGTGCAGAAGTCATCGTTCAGTGCCAGTCTGTTTGGTTCCGTCTTAGGTCAGCTCAAGACTCAACTAGTTGCCACAGAGAGCCCTTGCAAGAAGCAGCAGTTCCTTACCATTAAAAGCTGACTGGTTGCAGTTATCCCACAAGCTTTTCTGATCTCCCTTAGTTTGCAAATAGACTGGCTTTGTTTGTGGTCGTCAAGACGTCAAAGACCAGCTTAGTTTGCAAGCTAAGTGCTGAGACAGAACTCTGGAAGAAGATTGCATGGCTTGCAATATTAATTTTCTTCTAATGAAGAATACCCTCTGACTTTTTGACACTTTGTGATTGATTTCTCTGGTGGCCTGCAAGGAAAGTGCAAGGGCAAACTACCAATGCCTAGCTTTGTTTGTGGTCGTCAAGACGTCAAAGACCAGCTTAGTTTGCAAGCTAAGTGCTGAGACAGAACTCTGGAAGAAGATTGCATGGCTTGCAATATTAATTTTCTTCTAATGAAGAATACCCTCTGACTTTTTGACACTTTGTGATTGATTTCTCTGGTGGCCTGCAAGGAAAATGCTAGGGCAAACTACCAATGCCTAGATTTGTTTATTTGTTTACTTGCTTGCTTGCTTGCTCGCTCGCTTGCTTGCTTACTTGCTTACTTACTTACTTACTTGCTTGCTTGCTTGCTTGCTTGCTTGCTTGCTTGCTTGCTTGCTTGCTTGCTTGCTTGCTTACTTTCTTACTTCACCCATCTAGTGGCCAGACCACTACTCTGGCTAGCTTACAATATCTTACTGTTCCATCTTTCCTTCCATTGTCAGAAATATGATGATCATGCAACTAAGGTGTAACTGGATCAGTGGTGGCACCTGTGTCCCTCTCATGATGATTGCTTCCTAGGATATCTTGGTACCCGCCATTTCAAAGATATGGTATAATAGTTTCAAGGCTATAGTTTTGAGCTTTTAGGGTTAAACTACGTAAGAATGTATGGGTCCTTGAGCTGCTGTGCAGGCAGTTACATTAGACAAATGATGTGATGCAAGGTTTCCAAGTCTGTAGACATTCATTAAGCAATCATAGAAAATGAGTTTAAATTATGTTCATCACGAGCCTCATCGATTAGGCCACTTGTCCCTGATATGCTACACTTGGCTAATTTCTGCACAGTTTCTTTCTCACTCTTCCCCCCACTAAAAAACCCACAATGAGAATGGCTTCATAATCCCTACATTAAAAGTGCTTTAATGATGTAAACTATGGACAATCTTTTAGGGAAAAAATAATGATATGTTGCTTACAACATGCAGCAATGCAACATCTTTTCATATACAGTATTTCTCTATAACAGATTGTTGTGCATGTATTGTCAAAATGATTCTTTCATAAGCAAACCATTCCTTCAGGGGTCTGACAGGTCCTTTGCTGTGTAAATGAGGGACAAGACTGAGTGGAGGTAAAGGGGGCAGAAAAGACTGCTTTGGCATCAGCACCAAATCACTGAATATTGGACTATAAGATTTACAGTAGGACTGAGAACCTTCAGCCATCTAGATATATGGCACTTCTCCAAAGGCCCAGCCTGTTATCAACAGCAATAAGTTTCCCAAATTCCCAAAGAATGTAATCAAAGGGAAGCAAATATAGGAGTTGTGTAGTACATAGCACCTGGAAGATCAAAGTTTCTCAATGTTAGGAATCTTTTGATTAGGGGAAGGCAGAATGTTTCATGTATATTAACACAAAGCTGTGTAATCATATCAATTTGAGTAGCTTGGGCGAAAGACTCCGTATAAGGGCCATCCATGTTAAAAAATAATGCTTATTAGTGAAGAAAATTACCAGATTTTAGCCGCCTAGAGTGGTCCTGAGTTGGCCAGAATTCTGAATAAATTGATTGCTTCAGAATTGTACCACCATGCCAGATGTCCCAGGAGCAAAAGAAATACATGTTTCCAGCTTCCAGACTGATTCAAACTGACTGTTTTAGAGTAATGAAAGTGGTGATCAGTGGGTGCTAGATGGACTTGGAGTTAGAGAATAGAACTAGATTCTAAATAGACTCTGCTCTAAACTATTCATTGCAAATGGGAGGTGTCACTAGTCCTGGGGCACATACTGCTCTATCCTTACAAGAACCAATAATCATTTCTACCTAGCATAATTATTTACATTTAGCATAAGTAGCATGATGTCATTACAGCCACTAGCTGAGTGTTTTTAAAAGTCAATGATCAGGAAGTAATGGGTGTTGTGTCTGTGAATCTCATGTCTCATCACTTCAGGCTTTTGCAACTATACCAGGAGGCCACAGGGCTAAGCCCTGGTTGTATGCACTTGCAAGTTCTTGCTGCATGAGTGATAATTTAGATCTATCATTTATCTTGTATTTGGATTCTAAGTATTTATTTATTTATTTATTTATTTATTTATTTATTTATTTATTTATTTATTTA